AAGTTTGTCAAATAAACTGATGGGTAATAGGTTTACCTGGGACCCAGTGTCAAGTTTAAAATTTATTTTGTACTTGTTCGGGCCTATTTCTAGACCGGTGAAGGCCTGATCTTTACCACTATGTGATTCTATACTATCAATAAAGAAATCGATATCAGAATCAGAGTCATGTTCATCATAAGACTTGGTCATGGAAACTTCACTGGAGCGACAAACTTTCGCAAAGTGGTTCCACTTCTTGCAATTGTTACATTGGTGTCCTATGGCTGGACAGGTCTCCTTGCCAACGTGTGCCTTGTATCTTCACTGATGAGCAGGTCCCTGGGGCCTCTTCTTTTTAGATGTGTAGTGCGGGTCCTAGGGACCTTTTCCCCTGAATGGTTTATGACCTCGAGTAACACCGTGAACTTCCGACGAAACTTTAGACTGACTAGAGTCACTAGTATTGGGAGCTGACATTAGTCTTCAATTGCTCTTTTGTATAAGCGTACGTCTGACAAATCTGGACAGCTTATCGAGCGATAACTGGCTACCCTGGTTTATCAACTCCTCTCTTACCTGTGGTGACGTAATGCCGAACACGATACGGTATCTAATCATGTCATTTTCATCGGCGTAACCACAGTCTTTCACCGATAAACGAAGACGGGTGAGATATTCCTCGAACGTTGAACTCATTGTTGAACTTGTAACGAGCAAATACAGGGTTGAGTTTTGGCTGGACGTATGCCTTAAACCTCGTATAGTAAGTCTCAAGTTTGTCGTGATTGTCTGTGATTGTCCAAGTGTTAAAGATAACGCGACCTTTTTCTCCTACCCACAGGAGCAAGTACCGACATTTCACCTTTTCTTCTTTTCCCTCGAGGGGTCCGTCAAATATGAGTTGAACGTGCTGTTGGATTTTTTTCCACGCTTCGGGGAGATTCGACGCCTCCCAGTTCATGACAGGCGGTGTTATACCTGACAAATCCATTTCTGATCTTCGATCACCACTTCTGACACCCTGCAATGACTTATATGTGGTTTAGCGGTTGGGACATGGCCCAGAGAACGACAGACACGTGTTCTCACAACAACAATTTATTCAAAGATGGCGGATCCCGAATTACGGGTACAATACATATGGGGGAGTAACTCCTGACTGTCAACGATATAGGACTATTGGTAGCACAACAGTATTGGTACATAATGTTACATATTGTATGTGACATTAACTCCTGTATCTGTTGTATATTGTAGGTGAAATTAACTCCTGTATATGTTGTATGTTGTGACATTAACTCCTGTATATGTTGTATATTGTAGGTGAAATTAACTCCTGTATATGTTGTATGTTGTGACATTAACTCCTGTATCTGTTGTATATTGTAGGTGAAATTAACTCCTGTATATGTTGTATGTTGTAGGTGACATTAACTCCTGTATCTGTTGTATATTGTATGTGACATTAACTCCTGTATATGTTGTATGTTGTGACATTAACTCCTGTATCTGTTGTATGTTGTAGGTGACATTAACTCCTGTATCTGTTGTATGTTGTAGGTGAAATTAACTCCTGTATATGTTGTATGTTGTGACATTAACTCCTGTATATGTTGTATGTTGTAGGTGACATTAACTCCTGTATCTGTTGTATATTGTATGTGACATTAACTCCTGTATCTGTTGTATGTTGTGACATTAACTCCTGTATCTGTTGTATATTGTAGGTGACATTAACTCCTGTATCTGTTGTATGTTGTAGGTGACATTAACTCCTGTATCTGTTGTATGTGACATTAACTCCTGTATCTGTTGTATGTTGTGACATTAACTCCTGTATCTGTTGTATATTGTGATATTAACTCCTGTATCTGTTGTATGTTGTGACATTAACTCCTGTATCTGTTGTATGTTGTGACATTAACTCCTGTATCTGCTGTATGTTGTGACATTAACTCCTGTATCTGTTGTATGTTGTGACATTAACTCCTATATCTGTTTTATGTTGTGACATTAACTCCTGTATCTGTTGTATGTTGTGACATTAACTCCTGTATCTGTTGTATGTTGTGACGTTAACTCCTGTATCTGTTGTATGTTGCAGGTAACATTAACTCCTGTATCTGTTGTATGTTTGTAAGTGATATTAACTCCTGTATCTGTTGTATGGTGTAGGTGACATTAACTCCTTTATCTGTTGTATGTTGTATGTGACATTAACTCCTGTATCTGTTGTATGGTGTAGGTGACATTAACTCCTGTATCTGTTGTATGTTGTATGTGACATTAACTCCTGTATCTGTTGTATATTGTAGGTGACATTAACTCCTGTATCTGTTGTATGGTGTAGGTGACATTAACTCCTGTATCTGTTGTATGGTGTAGGTGACATTACCTCCTGTATCTGTTTTATGTTGTGACATTAACTCCTGTATCTGTTGTATGTTGTAGGTGACATTAACTCCTGTATCTGTTTTATGTTGTGACATTAACTCCTGTATATGTTGTATGTTGTGACATTAACTCCTGTATATGTTGTATATTGTAGGTGAAATTAACTCCTGTATATGTTGTATGTTGTGACATTAACTCCTGTATATGTTGTATATTGTAGGTGAAATTAACTCCTGTATATGTTGTATGTTGTGACATTAACTCCTGTATCTGTTGTATATTGTAGGTGAAATTAACTCCTGTATATGTTGTATGTTGTAGGTGACATTAACTCCTGTATCTGTTGTATATTGTATGTGACATTAACTCCTGTATCTGTTGTATGTTGTGATATTAACTCCTGTATATGTTGTATGTTGTGACATTAACTCCTGTATCTGTTGTATGTTGTAGGTGACATTAACTCCTGTATCTGTTGTATGTTGTAGGTGAAATAAACTCCTGTATATGTTGTATGTTGTGACATTAACTCCTGTATATGTTGTATGTTGTAGGTGACATTAACTCCTGTATCTGTTGTATATTGTATGTGACATTAACTCCTGTATCTGTTGTATGTTGTGACATTAACTCCTGTATCTGTTGTATGTTGTAGGTGACATTAACTCCTGTATCTGTTGTATGTGACATTAACTCCTGTATCTGTTGTATGTTGTGACATTAACTCCTGTATCTGTGGTATATTGTGACATTAACTCCTGTATCTGTTGTATTTTGTGACGTTAACTCCTGTATCTGTTGTATGCTGTAGGTGACATTAACTCCTGTATCTGTTGTATGTTGTGACATTAACTCCTGTATCTGTTGTATGTTGTGACATTAACTCCTGTATCTGTTGTATGTTGTGACATTAACTCCTGTATCTGTTGTATGTTGTGACATTAACTCCTGTATCTGTTTTATGTTGTGACATTAACTCCTGTATCTGTTGTATGTTTGTAAGTGATATTAACTCCTGTATCTGTTGTATGGTGTAGGTGACATTAACTCCTTTATCTGTTGTATGTTGTATGTGACATTAACTCCTGTATCTGTTGTATGGTGTAGGTGACATTAACTCCTGTATCTGTTGTATGTTGTATGTGACATTAACTCCTGTATCTGTTGTATATTGTAGGTGACATTAACTCCTGTATCTGTTGTATGGTGTAGGTGACATTAACTCCTGTATCTGTTGTATGGTGTAGGTGACATTACCTCCTGTATCTGTTTTATGTTGTGACATTAACTCCTGTATCTGTTGTATGTTGTGACATTAACTCCTGTATCTGTATCTGTTTTATGTTGTGACATTAACTTCTGTATCCGTTGTATGTTGTGACATTAACTCCTGTATCTGTTGTATGTTGTGACATTAACTCCTGTATCTGTTGTATGTGACATTAACTCCTGTATCTGTTGTATGTTGTGACATTAACTCCTGTATCTGTACTATATTGTGACATTAACTCATGTATCTGTTGTATTTTGTGACGTTAACTCCTGTATCTGTTGTATGTTGTAGGTGACATTAACTCCTGTATCTGTTGTATGTTGTGACATTAACACCTGTATCTGTTGTATATTGTAGGTGACATTAACTCCTGTATCTGTTGTATGTTGTGACATTAACTCCTGTATCTGTTGTATGTTGTGACATTAACTCCTGTATCTGTTGTATGTTGTAACATTAACTCCTGTATCTGTTGTATGTTGTGACATTAACTCCTGTATCTGTTGTATGTTGCAGGTGACATTAACTCCTGTATCTGTTGTATGTTTGTAAGTGATATTAACTCCTGTATCTGTTATATGGTGTAGGTGACATTAACTCCTTTATCTGTTGTATGTTGTATGTGACATTAACTCCTGTATCTGTTGTATGGTGTAGGTGACATTAACTCCTGTATCTGTTGTATGTTGTATGTGACATTAACTCCTGTATCTGTTGTATATTGTAGGTGACATTAACTCCTGTATCTGTTGTATGGTGTAGGTGACATTAACTCCTGTATCTGTTGTAAGGTGTAGGTGACATTACCTCCTGTATCTGTTTTATGTTGTGACATTAACTCCTGTATCTGTTGTATGTTGTAGGTGACATTAACTCCTGTATCTGTTTTATGTTGTGCCATTAACTCCTGTATCTGTTGTATGGTGTAGGTGACATTAACTCCTGTATCTGTTGTATGGTGTAGGTGACATTACCTCCTGTATCTGTTGTATGTTGTGACATTAACTCCTGTATCTGTTGTATGTTGTAGGTGACATTACCTCCTGTATCTGTTGTATGTTGTGACATTAACTCCTGTATCTGTTGTATGGTGTAGGTGACATTAACTCCTGTATCTGTTGTATGGTGTAGGTGACATTAACTCCTGTATCTGTTGTATGTGACATTACCTCCTGTATCTGTTGTATGTTGTGACATTAACTCCTGTATCTGTTGTATGTTGTGACATTAACTCCTGTATCTGTTGTATGTTGTGATATTAACTCCTGTATCTGTTGTATGTTGTGACATTAACTCCTTCTGTATGTCGGAGTATTCATAAACTCCTTCTGTGTGTTGTAGGGGACACACGATGCAGACAATCTACCTGAAGTGGTATGTGGTTGGTATGGTCTTCTTCCTCGTCACGTTCCTGGTTATAACTATTCACGTGCACATGAAAAATAGCATCGTAACGCACAAAATAAACCACTGGAAGCTTCGTCCATTGAGGAAGGAAGATCGCGAATCTGACCTATTTATCAAATCTAAATTGGTAGAAGCTGCACTATTGATAAACAAGGCGAAAATCCATGTCCGTGGGACGAAGTCTGCGGATGCTTTGAGAACAGTGGTGGGCGTGATGGATGAAATGTTACAAGCTTTTGACTTGGACTTTGTGTCAGTGACTCAGAGAGAGTTACACGAACCAAACAGTGTGTGTCAAGAAATTTACAAAGGAACTACATTCGGATATCCTTTCTTTGACCGAGGATTCGAACAGCTGCATTGTGGTCACATGGTTGCCGAGGAAAAGTTGGTTACTATAGTTATGCAACACGAGGAATATCGACTCAATAATCTGAGCAGAATTTTGGAAGATATACATAATTATAACGAAAACCTGTCGGTGATAGTGGGTGTGTACACTGCTGAGTTTAACCAGGTCATAAGAGACAAATACCCAAACGTTCGTTTCAAATCGTACGATCGCACGGTAAGTAAAGGTGACATATGGAACAACCTGATCGACTCTGTACGGACGCCTTACATTCTGTTCGCACGTGATTTGATCATGTTTAACAACGACACCCGTTTACATCGTCTCATTCGCGAGATTGAGCGCCTTAAACTTACTTCCGCCGGTGGTGCTTCTCGGGACTCCAATGGCCACTGGAAACTAGGATGTCTGCAGCGAGCATATAAAAACTACACGCTTGTATACGAGGAAGGCTACCACGAGTCTCTCAATGAGTGTGTTTTCTGTGATCACATAGAAAGTGCATTTGTTGTAAGTAAAACGACAATTTCTAAGATCAGTTTCGATGGAAGTATTTCAGGTGAAGGTGTGTGGGAAGATTTTTTCATGCGAGCTGGTGGTGAGTCTGTCGTCTGTCCAGATTCAATGTTTTATGTCAACAGAACAACAAGAAGCCTCAAATCTTTAGAATGGAAAGATTTCGCAGAGAAATACGACTTGAAACAAATAAAACTTTTATCTTCCGATTTTGTGCTTGATTTTGGTTGCTCGGGACTGTTTTCCTGTTTTAGTGGTACAGGTTTCGCTGTGACACCATGCTGTCTCGAAGAGGTGGCCAGACTAGTGACGTTCATCATGAACGCATGCGCAGAGACGGGAGTGATATGTGAGCTACAAGAAGGCACACTACTTGGTGCAGTCAAACTTCAGAAAATATTGCCTTGGGAACGAGACGCTGACATCACGTTCCTTACAGCTAATTATTCACAATTTCAAAATCTCAAGCATATTTTTGGAAAGGCAGGCTATTCCTTTCATGACGGCTCATCATTATGGTGTTGTGTAGACAATCGCACTGCTGGCGGGAAATTCAAAATTTCCAGTAAACATTGGCATGCCGAGTTATATGGACAACATCTGATGGATTCTGAATTACTATTACGTAAATCACTGGCGCCAACCAAAATACAGTTCCATGGTCAGTGGGTAAACGTGCCTAGAAACCCTGGACTACACGTGAGAAACCGATATGGACATGAAATCTACGCTCACTCACAACATTGGTTAGCGACAGGAAAGACGTCGGGCTGGATTAGTTATGACACGAAATCTTTCACAAAATGTCACAGAACTGGATCACACAATTGTTTAGATCGTTATAATACTGATGGAAACCTTCAATTTATATCCCGTGTCCCCTGATAACTTACAGGTGTAGTACTGATACTGACGGAAACCTTCAATTTATATCCCGTGTCCCCTGATAACTTACAGGTGTAGTACTGATACTGACGGAAACCTTCAATTTATATCCCGTGTCCCCTGATAACTTACAGGTGTAGTACTGATACTGACGGAAACCTTCAATTTATATCCCGTGTCCCCTGATAACTTACAGGTGTAGTACTGATACTGACGGAAACCTTCAATTTATATCCCGTGTCCCCTGATAACTTACAGGTGTAGTACTGATACTGACGGAAACCTTCAATTTATATCAACACGTGTCAAATTTTAATAATACATTGTGAAAGGTTATAAACATCCATCCGGAGCGGAATAGTATACGTCTGAAATAATAGGTGTTTGCGGAGTCTAGACAAGGATCAGAATAACGTCTGCTTCTGGAATAACTTATATATATAATAAATATTTTCATGCTTATATTGGTTGTCAACAATAGAAATAAGAAAAAAATCATAAAAGTTATGAGCAAGCGTGGGACCAACACATGATGATGTCAGATAGATCATGGCGTCATAATAGAAAACGAAATTAACTTTCCTGCCATGTCATGTATTTATATATTACATCCGTGTCATCAATATCATATCAGTTGTGACGTCAAAGGTATATCATATTACTTGTGACGTCAAAGGTATATCATATCACTTGTGACGTCAAAAGTATACCATATCACTTGTGACGTCAAAGGTATATCATATTACTTGTGACGTCAAAGGTATATCATATCACTTGTGACGTCAAAAGTATACCATATCATTTGTGACGTCAAAGGTATATCATATCACTTGTGACAGCATAAGTTAATGACGTTACACTATGATCTTGTTGGTAAAAATGTACCGTCCGCGTTGAAATTCGTCTTTTAAGGGAGATGAGATAGTGTTTCACTTCATTCTGTGTGAAAAGGATTAACGTTAATTGTTGAATACAAAACACTTTTCCATTGCATTTAGACCTAAGAAATTGTTGTGACACTCGCCTAATGGCTTGAATCGAAAGTATTGAACTGGTCTAATATATCATCATGTCCACATGTTTAATATCCTCTTTGAAAAGGCAGGATTTAATTTCGGTCAAAATGACTGGAAAACATTCTTTCCGAATTGGGTATTTGTATCTGATTAAAATGAGTGTGGATTGAGTATCCAAATGACGCATAGCATGTTAGGGGATGTGTACCGATAACAGCTTGTGACAAAAATACACGAGCTTGTAGAAGTCGAGTGTATCCCGGTGAATGGTGTCCAGGGTGAGTGTTTGACGATGTTTCATGGTTTTGTTAGTGTCTACTGACAGGATGTCTGGTGTATCCCGGTGAAATGGTGTCCAGGGTGAGTGTTGCACGATGTTTCATGGTTTTGTTGGTGTCTAGTGACAGGATATCGGGGGTATCATGTTGAAATGGTGTCCAGGCTGAGTGTTGGACGATGTTTCATGGTTTTGTTGGTGTGTAGTGACAGGATGTCGGGTGTATCCCGTTGAAATGGTGTCAAGGGTGAGTGTTTGACGATGTTTCATGGTTTTGTTGGTGTCTAGTGGCAGGATATGGTGAGTATCCCGGTGAAATGGTGTCCAGGGTGAGTATTGGACGATGTTTCATGGTTTTGTTGGTGTGAAGTGACAGGATGTCGGGTGTATCCCGGTGAAATGATGTCCAGGGTTAGCGTTGCACGGTATATGACATGATGTCGGGTGTATCCGGGTGAAATGATGTCCAGGGTAAGTGTTGCACGATGTTTCATGGTTTTGTTGGTGTCTAGTGACATGATGTTGGGTGTATCCGGGTGAAATGATGTCCAGGGTGAGTGTTGCACGATGTTTCATGGTTTTGTTGGTGTCTAGTGACATGATGTTGGGTGTATCCGGGTGAAATGATGTCCAGGGTGAGTGTTGCACGATGTTTCATGGTTTTGTTGGTGTGTAGTGACAGGATGTCGGGAGTATCCAGGTGAAATGGTGTCCGGGGTGATTGTTGGACGATGTTTCATGGTTTTGTTAGTGTGTAGTGACAGGATGTCGGGTGTATTCTGGTGAAATGGTGTCCAGGTTGAGTGTTGGACGATGTTTCATTGTTTTGTTGGTATGTAGTGACAGGATGTCGGGAGGATCCGGGTGAAGTGATGTCCAGGGTGAGTGTTGGACGATGTTTCATGATTTGTTGGTGTGCAGTGACAGGATGTCGTGGGTATCCGGTTGAAATGGTGTCCAGGGTGAGTGTTGGACGATGTTTCATGGTTTTATTGGTGTCTGATGACAGGATGTTGGAATATCCAGGTGAAATGGTGTCAAGGGTGAGTGTTGGACGATGTTTCATTGTTTTGTTGGTATGTAGTGAGAGGATGTCGGGAGTATCCGGGTGAAGTGGTGTCCAGGGTGAGTGTTGTACGATGTTTCATGGTTTTGTTGGTGTGTAGTGACAGGATGTCGGGTGTATCCGGTTGAAATGGTGTCCAGGGTGAGTGTTTGATGATGTTTCATGGTTTGTAAGTGTATAGTGACAGGATGGCGGGTGTATCCCTTTGAAATTGTGTCCACAGTGAGCGTTGCACGATATATGCTGGTTTTGTTGGTGTCTAGTGGCAGGATGTGGTGAGTATTCCGGTGAAATGATGTCCAGGGTGAGCGTTGTACAATGTTTCATGGTTTTATTGGTGTCTAGTGACAGGATATTGGGTGTCCAGGGTGAGTGTTGGACGATGTTTCATTGTTTTGTTGGTGTGTAGTGACAGGATTTCGGGTGTATCCCGGTTGAAATGGTGTCCGGGGTGAGTGTTGCACGATGTTTCATGGTTTTGTTGGTGTCTAGTCACAGGATGTCGGGAGTATCATGTTGATTTGGTATCCAGGTTGATTGTTGCACGATGTTTCATGGTTTTGTTGGTGTCTGGTGACAGGATGTCGGGTGTATCCGGGTGAAATGGTGTCCAGGATGAGTGTTGTACGATGTTTCATGGTTTTGTTGGTGTGTAGTGACAGGATGTCGGGTTTATCCGGTTGAAATGATGTCCAGGGTGAGTGTTGGATGATGTTTCATGGTTTGTAAGTGTATAGTGACAGGATGGCGGGTGTATCCCTTTGAAATGGTGTCTACAGTGAGCGTTGCACGATATATGCTGGTTTTGTTGGTGTCTAGTGGCAGGATGTGGTGAGTATCCCGGTGAAATGATGTCCAGGGTGAGCGTTGTACAATGTTTCATGGTTTTATTGGTGTCTAGTGACAGGATATTGGGTGTCCAGGGTGAGTGTTGGACGATGTTTCATTTTTTGTTGGTGTGTAGTGACAGGATGTCGGGAGTATCCCGGTGAAATGGTGTCCAGGGTGAGTGTTGAACGATGTTTCATGGTTTTGTTGGTGTGTAGTGACAGGATGTCGGGTGTATCCGGGTGAATTGATGTCCAGGGTGAGTGTTGGACGATGTTTCATGGTTTTGTTGGTGTGTAGTGACAGGATGTCGGGAGTATCCGGGTGGAGTGGTGTCCAGGGTGAGTGTTGTATGATGTTTCATGGTTTTGTTGGTGTGTAGTGACAGGATGTCGGGTGTATCCCGGTGAATTGATGTCCAGGATGAGTGTTGGACGATGTTTCATGGTTTTGTTGGTGTGTAGTGACAGGATGTCGGGAGTATCCGGGTGGAGTGGTGTCCAGGGTGAGTGTTGGATGATGTTTCATGGTTTTATTGGTGTCTGATGACAGGATGTTAGAATATCCAGGTGAAATGGTGTCCAGGCTGAGTGTTGTACTATGTTTCATGGTTTTGTTGGTGTCTAGTGACAGGATGTCGGGTCTATCCTGGTGAAATGGTGTCAAGGGTGAGTGTTGGACGATGTTTCATGGTTTTGTTGGTGTGTAGTGACAGGATGTCGGGTGTATCCCGTTGAAATGGTGTCAAGGGTGAGTGTTTGACGATGTTTCATGGTTTTGTTGGTGTGTGAGGATGATCCCGGTGAAGGATGTCGGTGTATGGTTGATTGTTGGTGTGAAGTGACAGGATGTCGGGTGTATCCGGGTGAAATGATGTCCAGGGTTAAGTGTTGAAATGATGTTGCACGATGTTTCATGGTTTTGTTGGTGTCTAGTGACATGATGTTGGGTCCGGGTGAAATGGTTGAGTGTTGTGTTTCATGGTTTTGTTGGTGTGTAGTGACAGATGTTGGGTGTATCCGGGTGAAATGATGTCCAGGGTGAGTGTTGCACGATGTTTCATGGTTTTGTTGGTGTGTAGTGACAGGATGTCGGGTGTATCCAGGTGAAATGGTGTCCAGGGTTTTGTTGGTGTGTAGTGTGAGTGTTGTCCAGGGTGACGATGTTTCATTGTTTTGTTGGTATGTAGTGACAGGATGTCGGGAGGATCCGGGTGAAGTGGTGTCCAGGGTGAGTGTTGGACGATGTTTCATGATTTGTTGGTGTGCAGTGACAGGATGTCGTGGGTATCCGGTTGAAATGGTGTCCAGGGTGAGTGTTGGACGATGTTTCATGGTTTTATTGGTGTCTGATGACAGGATGTTGGAATATCCAGGTGAAATGGTGTCAAGGGTGAGTGTTGGACGATGTTTCATTGTTTTGTTGGTATGTAGTGAGAGGATGTCGGGAGTATCCGGGTGAAGTGGTGTCCAGGGTGAGTGTTGTACGATGTTTCATGGTTTTGTTGGTGTGTAGTGACAGGATGTCGGGTGTATCCGGTTGAAATGGTGTCCAGGGTGAGTGTTTGATGATGTTTCATGGTTTGTAAGTGTATAGTGACAGGATGGCGGGTGTATCCCTTTGAAATTGTGTCCACAGTGAGCGTTGCACGATATATGCTGGTTTTGTTGGTGTCTAGTGGCAGGATGTGGTGAGTATTCCGGTGAAATGATGTCCAGGGTGAGCGTTGTACAATGTTTCATGGTTTTATTGGTGTCTAGTGACAGGATATTGGGTGTCCAGGGTGAGTGTTGGACGATGTTTCATTGTTTTG